AACTATTGAGTATGGCAGAATTAGGTCATATAACTTCCAAGGCTAGGTCAGCAAAGGCTTTGCAACTTCCATCAGGCTCTTTGGGGATGTTCGTTCTGGGGGAAACCAGACACAACTTAAGAAATCCTACTCCAGGTAGGCCATCGTGCTATGCTGGTGAGGCCATGTGTAGGTTTTCCTAATCAATAGTGCCAGCCTTCAGGCGCCTGGGTGGCTCAGTTGGTTAAGCGACTGCCTTCCACTCAGGTCATGGTCCCGGAGTCCTGGGATCGAGTGCCGCATCGGGCTCCCGGCTCAGCGGGGAGCCTGCTTCTCCCTCTGACCCTCTCCCCTCTCATGCTGTTTCTCTCTCTCTCTCAAATAAATAAATAAATAAAATCTTTAAAAAAAAAAAAAAAATAGTGCCAGCCTTCATTGCCAGCCATGGGAGGGGGCCATCTCGGATGTCCAGCCTCATGGAGCCTTCAGATGACTGCAGTTTCAGTTGGTATCTGACTGCAAATGCATGAGAGACCCTCGAAGTGAGAATTTCCCAGCCATGCCCTTTCTGACACCCTGACCCATGTTTTACCCCACTAAGTTTAGGGTGGTTTGCTATATATAGCAACTGTAACCAGAACACCCCATTTGCAAATGAGGAAATTGAGGCTTACAGAGTGATTTAACTCTAGGTCTTAACCATCATTTTATCCTGCTGCCAAATGTCAGAATAATAAATTTTGTACTATGCAGAAGATAACCTTCTCAAGTCACATGTTTATTTCAACATACCCAGCAGCAGAACACACTGTGGAAGGAAAACTGGGACTTCATTGAAGTGAAAGCAGTCTATTTTCCTATGTTTTTTCATTAAGTGGTTTTCTCTGTTCCATCTATCGATCTGTTAACCAAAATTGAAAACCTCTTATAAATTATGATGTTACAGCAAGGTAGAATGCCCCAACCTACAGCAGGCAAGTGTCCTAATAAGAGATATTCCCAGGAGGTGACTTAACATTTCTCTCTCTCTAAAATTACTTCTAGCAGGCTGTTGACATTTCAGAGGTCAACTCTTTCAGAATGTTCTCAAAGCATGAAGTACATGACTAATATCTTGGAGAATTTTAGAGATAAACACAAAACAAATTTTATAGAAGTTGGTTTGAAAAATAGAATTTATGCAAAACATAACTGAGCAATGAGTGACATCCTAAGTTTCTGTGGAGTTTTTAAAATCTTGTGTGAAAGACCTACCTTTCACACATGATTTTAAATACTTTATAGTAAAGTAGCCCTGGTAAGAGCTGAATCCTTGAAGGTGTTTACTATGATGCAATTCAGTTTTGTTCTTCTAAGAAGATATAACTGTGGTCTATGATCACAACAAAAGATACTAGATGTGGGGCACCTGGGTGGCTCAGTTGTTAAGCGTCTCCCTTCAGCTCAGGTCATGATCCCAGTGTCCTAGGATCGAGCCCCGCATCGGGCTCCCTGCTCAGCGGGAAGCCTGCTTCTCCCTCTCCACTCCCCCTACTTGTATTCCCTCTCTCTCACTGTCTCTCTCTCTGTCAAATAAATAAATAAAATTAAAAAAGAGAGAGAGAGATACTAGATGTGTTTGCCAGTCCACATCCATCCCCCATTCTTTGGGAAGCTGTGATCATGTCTTTATTTTATTCCTCTTGACCTCCTTCCCCCAGTTAATCTAGCCAGGATAGACAATAGATGCTCTCGCCTGAGAATTTGAAATTGGGATTCATTGATTCTAGTTATTCCGTGCTGTTCACTTCATTACATGGATTGAAAACTCAGAGAATGAGGCTGCCATTGGGGGCAGCCATGTTTGCTGAGATGCAGCCAAGGCAGCGAAAACCAGTTCACATACAGGAAAAGAAAAAGCAGATGCTGAGACAATGGACCAGGAAATCAATGGAGAGAGGGAGAGAGAAAGACAGAGAGAGAGAGAGACAGAGATGTAGAGACAGAGAGGAAAAAAGCAGAAAGGCAAGCCGGCTTTTTATACCCCTAGAGTCCAGTTTTTAGGCCTTTTGTGAAACTAAGTTCACCTCTTTCCCTTGAGATCCAGAAGCTATCTGGTACCTTGTGGTAGCCAGCCTCCAGATGGCCCCCAGTGCTTCTTGCCTCTGGTATCCATGCCCTTGTGCAGTCCCCTACCATACTGAATAGGGCTTGCCCTTGTAATTAATAGAATATTGCAGAAGTGATGATATATAACTTTCGAGGTTAGGTCATGAAAGTCATTACAACTCCTGCCTTGCTCTCTCTTGGACTACTCACGCTAAGTAGTTGCTCTGAGCCCTCCCTGAAGAGGAACTGAGGCTACTTGCCAACATCCAACACCATCTTGCCAGGCATGTGAGTGAGCCTTCTTGGAAGCACATCCTCCAGCCCCAGTCAGGCTTCCAGATGATGGTAGCCACAGCCAACATCTTGACTGCAACCTCATAAAACACCCTGACCCAGAACCATCCAGTTAAGCCACTCTTGAATTTCTGACTACAGAAACTGTGAGATGTATTTGTTTGAAGATACTAAGTTTTGGGTTGTTATGCAGCAATAGGTGACTAATATATAGTCTTTGAATAATCTTTTGGCTTAGATTAGTTTATAATAGATTATTATTAGTTGTGTAATAGGATGTCCAGTGAAATCTTTCCTATTGTCTCAGAATTGTGGGGGATGGGCGCCTGGGTGACTCAGTCAGTTAAGCGACTGCCTTCGGCTCAGGTCATGATCCTGGAGTCCCGGGATCGAGTCCCGCATCGGGCTCCCTGCTCAGCGGGGAGTCTGCTTCTCCCTCTGACCCTCCTCCCTCTCGTGCTCTCTGTCTCTCATTCTCTCTCACAAATAAATAAATAAAATCCTAAAAAAAAAAAAAAAGAATTGTGGGGGGAAAAAAAAAGCTGACTACAAAATTTCCTAAATATCCCATGTTCTAAGTTCAAGAAGCCAGTAATAGGGCCCCTTCAGCTTTCTCCTGGGGCTTACTGGAATGCACAAGAGCAGACCAGTCTCACCAGTCTCACCACCAACCGTCACCCCAGCCACACACATGCACACATACACAGGTCTATACAAGAAAGTACTGAGAAAGAACAGATTGCAGGTCTTTGGAGGGGGGTAAAAGCTCTCACTGAAACCATATGAGAGATGCCTTAGAGAATGCGTTTTATTCTTTTTTATTTTTTGTCAGTTCTGCTCAGGCAATGAACTTGCTTATATGCCCTGTGTTTAACAGAAATGAGATTTGAAAGAGATGACAAAGCTGAGTGGTGGGAGTGGTGTGCAGCCATGGGGCATCCTGCACACTCACTGTTTGATGGGAAAGGATATATTTCTCAGGCTTCAAACAGACAAAGAAGAGAGTGGGATCATACCCAGGAGAATGGCAACTAGAAAAGGGGACCACAGCAAAAGACCACACACACACACACACACAGGAAAACAGCCTTCACCCTTTATCTCCAGAAGCCCAGGATTTTCTCATGGTTTTTTCAAGTCTTTGTAATTTCCCTCTCTGGTTCCTCTGTTATTAATCTTGAGGGACGGAGACTGTAGTTGTGTTACTTCATCATCTTGGCAGGAACTAAACCAACCTAGAATCTTATATACAGACAAATTATCAATCTAGTGTCAGGGAAAGGTATTTTCACACAAATTCTCAAAAAAAGTTACATTTCATGTACTCAAGAAGCTATTGGATGATAAGCTCCAAGAAACATGAAGTCATGGGAGACAGGGATCAGATTTAGTGAATCCACAGGGTAATAGGTGGGGGAGATCCTCAGGTGATGGTGATAGGTATAAACCAGATATAGAGGGATAGGCAATCAGTTGAGATTGAAACAGGTCATAAGGCTCTGGGAGGGACTTATTCAAGATAATGAAACTGATAAAGGAAGTACGGGAAATGACTGTAAATAACATATGCAACAATAATGTAAACACCAAATATTAATTGAACTAAAATTACAATATAAATACATGGAAGGGCGGGGGATGGGAGGAGCACATATGTGTGGTGGGGTAGGGGAAAGAAAGAGTGAAATTCTCATCTTCCATAATAGGAAGTCAACAGATAATGTGTAACACCAAAACCCAAGAAGTAGCATACAAGCATATTATTTGGAGACATGGAGGCAAATTCTTTTTTTAAAAAAGATTTTATTTATTTATTTGACAGAGAGAGACACAGCGAGA